GTTACGCAGTGTTTTCGAAATCCACATTGTGTTTCCGGAAGCCGTTTCTATCCAGATGCGCCATCAGGCTATTGAGTAGAACACGAGTATTTTCCCGTCGTATTCAGAAAGAAGTCGTCTATGCTCCTATCACATAATCTCCGGTCCCCCATGCGTTTGTAAATCTGCAACACGGTAGCATCTGTAAATTCTTTTGGAACATGTTCTTGTAGTCAACTCCTAAGAGAGCGAGGTAAGCTTTTACGTGAGCTGTGGACCGTCGTACTTGTGGACGGTTGGAATTGCGGATGCTCTCGATTTTATGAAGCTAAAGCGGACTATTGAGGTTTTCGTGGGTAAACAGTTATGAAATTCGGTTGATATCTTTTACCGCATATTGTTGATGGGTGCTTGAGGACATCCTAAAAGTGCTCAGGATCTGGAACTTCTCTGTCAGATCCATCCTGGATTAGCCATGAAACAGGCCTTGTGGCATAAGGACTGCAGCCTCCTTCCATGGTGGCGAAGAAATTTACGATATCGCCTTGGCTGACATATCCTTGAATCTCGTCAATTTTCCAGTTATTCTGCATCTCCATGGGCCTCCACTGTACTAGCCGTTGGTATTGAAAGCGTGCAAATTTGTTAGTGTAGCTGCTGTCGATATAGTCGATCGTGTGTAGACTACAGTTCTTTGTTATTGTCATTAAAATAACTCTAAGGCTGACCGTTTGTTCGGATGGGGATTCTGCCACAGTGCTCTCGATGATGTTCCTACTGGGTTTCCACATTGGCATGAGCCTAGAGCCACTATTCCTCCCACATGAATTCGCACATCTGCTAAGATTTTGTTTCGGCGTTCAGCCATATCAAGTTAATCACTGTTTAACTTTCCTGGCGTTGTGGTCGCCTACACTGTTGAAGTTGGAACCGAATATTGGAGATGCGAAGGCGGTGATCCTGTGGTGATTCACTTAACATAGGCAAGCATGCGTCTGCACTGGAGGCGGCCTCTTGAACAGCCAATCACAGATGCCGCAAAGCTGGTCTCGCCCGGCGGCGAATAAGACGCATGCACGACTAGGTCGATGCAGTCTGTCCGACCAATAACCTTCAAAGCCGACCAGACAATGACCTGTCTCGCTGCCGCTGGCATGCCTGCTGCTAACCCCCCCCCCTTAGGACCCGGCTAGTCGATGAGGATACAGCGACAGCAGGTGTCTCCAAGCCGCGAAACGGCGACAAGATAGCGACAGAAGGTATCCTCAGGCCACCCGCGCCGTCACGAGACGATGACACCTTGCGTCCTCATGCCTCCCATCAAAAAGCGGGACAAGGACGACAGGTTGGCATTAACTAATTGTCGGTCCCTTTTCACCTCTCTGGTCCCTAATTATGACTAGAATCTGACCTCCTTCGATCCATTAACACTTCTCCCAATTATTACTGATTTATTGCGTAGACTTTTGTAAACTCTGCCCTCCACTTATATTAGTGTATTTACCCGAGGATGAATCAATCGAAAACTTTCGTTCGTCTAACTTTACTTCATGAATGCTTACATGGGTATAATCGCTCAACCTTTTAAGCCGCGGCTTTTAGCATACCGTAAT